CTTGGGAGGGACCAGACTCAAAGGGGGAGCCCATCCTCCAGGGGCCGGCAGGGAGAGTCAAACAATTAAATTAATTTTTTTTTGCACTACACATGAGCCATATGATATTGTTCCTTGGCATCCTTGTAAGCAGGACCGACTGTTATTTGTTCATGAAACTCAGTTTTACAGTTCATGATGAGCCAGTATTTTTTGAAGAAATGGTGAAAAGGTCATTTATACATTTTCACTAATGAAAAGGTCTATGGGCTATACTAATCTTATGATTTCTGTGTGAATCATGCTCCTTAAAACCTGACTGATCTTTTATGCAGTCATTAGCTTTGGAGTACCACAGACAGAATAAGATAGCACAAGTTTCAATGAATATTCTCTGCCCACATTATATGTTTTATTAAAAAAAAAAACAATTTACTGAAAAAGAATCTCTGCCTCACTTTTTAGTCTCAAGAGGGATGTTTTCATGTTGTCTCTATAAACCTATACATACATTTGATAAAGAGATTGTTTTTACTGACAGTGATCTGTTTATCTTCCTTCACTCTTCCAGGATTGTTGAAATTTACAGCAGACGTTTACAAGGTAGTTTATCAGTTTGTACATAGCGTTCTTCTGATGTTTACATTATTACATTAAATGTAGATATACTAAATGTCTGACATTCAAATAATAGCTGAGAAAACAAAATATGCTTAACAGTGGTGACTACCAGGTGGTGCATTCTCATATGCAAACTGCATGTACCTTTTCCCCTTCTGACCCTGATCTGCTTGTGTTTCAACTCTTGTGTTATTGGATGTTTGATGTTGTCACCTTTTGCATCTAATTTCCGATACTCCGTCAATTTAGATGTTAAATGAAGTTTTTTTCTCTCTCTCTCCTGTGTACAGTTCAGGAAAGATTAACAAAACAAATTGCTGTTGCCATCACTGAAGCCTTGCAGCCTGCCGGTGTTGGGGTTGTTATAGAAGCCACGTATGCTATTTCAGTATCTTAAGACCAATAGACTCACAGTAAACACCATATTGTTCACCAGCCTTCCTTTCAGATACATACTATATAGTACTGTACTGCTTAACACAACATATTTCTGCATCTAACCTGTCTGATCTTCTTCCTGTTTCACAGTCACATGTGCATGGTCATGAGAGGTGTACAGAAGATGAACAGCAAGACCGTGACTAGCACAATGCTGGGTGTCTTCCGTGAGGACCCCAAAACACGAGATGAATTTCTCACCCTTATTAGAAGCTGAATAGACCTTCTGTAACAACCTGCCGTCCCTAGATCATTATGCACATTTTATGTTAATTTCTACCTAAACCCAGAGAGATTTCATTTATGTGGTCAATTTTAATATCTAAACAGGCTATCCAGTTTTCTGTGCATTTGTGTCAAAGCGTGGTATAAAATGATTTCAACCAAGGACTGGTCATCCGTAAAGTACTAGCCATAGAATACACATAGTTTGTTATAATTAAACCATAATCATAGTAAGTACATTGTATTATTCACTTTATTACCCAATATATCCAAAGAAAATATTTGTATGCACAACTTTGAGGTAAAAGACTATCAAAAGTTTTCTCCTTGATATCCTACAGAATAAAATGCAAGTTGCCAGTATTTCTCTAACATAAATGACAATCTCTCATGTGTGTATTTTAGATTGGCCTTCTTACCAGTTTACTTGAAATTGCATTCATATATTGAGATGTTTTCTATGTTAGTTTTTTGTATGTTTTAAATATTATACTAGGACAAAAATGAACCATTTACCAATTCTATGGTGGCATTGTGGCCTCACACTTCCACTGTTGTGGGTTTGATTTGTGCCCTCAGCTCTGTCTGTGTTGTGCTCTTCCTCTGTGCGTGTTTGCTCCTGTAGGCCAAAAACACATCTAGGGAAAGTGCCATTTCTGAATCATCCAAAGTGTGTAAGAATATTCTTGAACTGGCATCTCATCCAGGTTGCCCTGTGTTTCCTGGAATCACTGTGACCCTGTACTAATTAAAGATGAATTGTGTAATTGTCTTTCTCTTTGCAAAATACTGATACATTTTTTGGCAGCACAATTAACTGGCAAAGCCAGTTTTTAAGTTTCAGAAAAAGACACTTTGTTGGTAGAAGTCAAAAGCTTGTAATGAATGTGTTTTGTACTGCTATCACAATAATACCTTCTGATATTTTGATTGTGTTATTTTAGCCTCCTTGCTGAAATGTGTTTGCAGTTTTAGTTCATTCATAAAATATTCATGACATTCTGGGTTTGTGCATCGGTTTTCCAAGTAATACATACAGTGTTTCCATCACAATAACTTTCTGTATAATTTATAGTATTTTATGCATGTACTATGTGAAATGCAATTCTCTCCACTACAAACTGTTTGGGCATGGCTATTTCTAGTGTCGAGTCATGCTTCCAGTTAAGTGTCTTAATATATGCCCTGTTCTGTCTGCTTAGTATGGTTTGCCTGTTTGATGAATTTCACAATGATTATCTTAGGATGTATTTTCTTTATAAATGTTCCTCGTACTAATGATATTGTGAAAAATAGTCCAAACACATTATTTTTCTTGTCTGTTTTCCTTTAAGTCTGAATTTTAGCATAGTGACAAACAGACCAGAAATTATTCAAATGTTAAAAATATTACTGAAATACACACAACTATTTTTTTCTGTATTTTTACCATGTGTTAGAAGAACTGGCAATGAAGAGAAGCTGTATAATGTGGTTATTGGGTATACTGTATAGTCATAAGCAACATCTTTGTCAAAAACAGCGAGGCACCTCATTAAAAGCAGACCTGAGTTTGTGCATTTTCTGCTAGATGCTACCTTTTCCATTTTGTCTAAAAAAGAAATCTGGTGCATAAAAACATTTGTATTTTCTGATATTTATCCTGAGAGGATTTAAAACTCAGGAGGTGGGGTGCAATGCATCTTAAAACGCAGACTCGGGTGATTGCTGGGTATTGAGGTTAATTCGGTTTACTTACCTTTGTTAATGAAATTGAGTGTCATGTTTGATCCCCTACTATCCTAGATGAAATCGCTGCCACTTATCCCAACTCTTGTAGCTACCAGGTGCCTTTTTGTTAAGATGCTTTTTTCAGCATGATAAGTGTGTTGGATTAATTTTACTTAATGAGGATTAGATGAGCTGTCCTTCTTTCTCTGTGTATCCCAACCAAGGGATTGAATTCTATTTTTCCTCTCAATTTTATGTCACATTGTCAGACCAGGGAATGGCTGTTTGCTTAATTCCAAAAATATGCATTTTGGCTTTAAAATTAATCATTTAATTTTTAATGACAATTTATTGATTCCCATGAGGAAATTCTTTTTACATCTACACAATATTGCTCTTCATGACACAAGTTGGTGAGCGCAAATGAAGGGCAGCCACCTACAGTAGGCACCCATTGAGCACTGCCAGGTTAAGGGCCTTGCTCAAGGGCCCACAGCCATGGCAATTTTATCAAAGCTGGGCTTGAAATGGCACAGGCACAAAGGCTCAGCTCACTGAGCCACAAGCTTTACCAGTTGCAGCAAATCCTTCATAATAATGTCAGGAATTCAACATTAACTATTATTAGCATTTTAACAACCATCAGCACTTTCTTCACATAATTATTTAAAACTGGCATGTTGTTTAATGAAATACATTTTCATAAATTGTTTAATGACATACATTTTCAAATGTTATGCTTCTATTATGATGATATACACTCACCTAAAGGATTATTAGGAACACCTGTTCAATTTCTCATTAATGCAATTGTCTAATCAACCAATCACATGGCAGTTGCTTCAATGCATTTAGGGGTGTGGTCCTGGTCAAGACAATCTCCTGAACTCCAAACTGAATGTCAGAATGGGAAAGAGAGGTGATTTAAGCAATTTTGAGCGTGGCATCTTTGGTGCCAGACGGGCCGGTCTGAGTATTTCACAATTTTCTAAATTACTGG